AGTATTTATACACTCTGGTACTTTTACTTTTACTCAAGTACAAGATCTGGATACTTCTGCTTTTACTCAAGTACAACATCTGAGTACTTCTACTTTTATTCAAGTTCAAGATCTGAGTACTTCTACTTTTACTCAAGTACAAGATCTGAGTACTTCTACTTTTACTCAAGTACAAGATCTGAGTACTTCTCCCACCTCTGACACTGCGCTTAGCTAAATCGGACACCATTCTTTTAATCTTTTACATTCACGGAGCAGTCCTCAACACTTAACAGGCTTTGATCTCACAACAAAAGTAAGAGAGCCTGAAATTCGCCTTAAACATTTTTTTTAAACCTGCCATAACTCCCAAACCCTACACTCTTAGGACATCAGTTTTCATGAAAAACATAGGGAAACCTCTCTTAGGTTGAAAAATCTAAATAAAAAAAAATCAACAAAATGCCCCTTGAGGGCACGAAAAGACAGACTTTTCAACATGTCTCCATTAAGGCCCATTGTAAATTCAGCCTCATCTTTACTCAGAGCACCAGCCTTACACCTTCAGATAAACTGCCAAAAGAGCCACATTATTGACCCGAAAGTACACAAAAAGCAAGTTTTCTAACAGTCAGTGCAATGCATTTGAGCTTTAACAATTTGAATCCAAATAATTGCACTTTTCAGCATTTTTCCTCTAAGTTCTGCAACACACTTAGGCCTACTTGGTGCATGTAGCTAAATACAGCTACAGACACCATTCAGCTATTAAAATATTCAGCTTTTTCTGCCTCTTCAGCCAAGTTCAGCAACAAATGTTCTCGGCTTACAGCATTCGCATGCATTTTCAGCAGGAAATGCATTTTCAAGTTAATATTCCATTCCTTACACACTTAATGTATATATAACGTCCTGCTTTTTATATTCTTAACGTAAATTTGTATTTCAACCTGTATATTTTCTACTTTTTTAATGCTATTTTATTTCTATTTGAGATGTTTACATTTTGGATTGTTTATTTATAGTCTTTTAATTTCTCTAATGTACAATGCCTTGTCTTTTTATGCTGCTGCAACGCAAACATTTCCCAAATTGGGATCAATAAAGTAATTCTTATCTTCTTATCTTATCTTAAACATCCGGAACTTCAATCAAACAACATGTTTTTTTAGAGTTGATCTTTCTACTAAAATAAATGTATTAGTTAACTTCAGGCCTTAAACACTTCTCTCATCGTCCTTTAAACTTCTCTAAAGTCTAGACACACCCTCTGTTTCCTTTCCATTCATCCACTCTCTCTCCTACCTCATCCTTTCCCCATCCCTTTATCCTTCCCTTCCTTCACACTTCAAGCCTTTCTGTTAAATCGTATGCAAAACTCTCCAATGGATGATTCTTGATACTGGGGCCTGTAATCACATCTGGACGGAACCCCCCCTGACTTCAGAATGCATCCTTTTCCCGCCTTTACCCATTCCATTCTTTCCCCACAATCCTATATACCTCCAGAAGATATGATAATGGATATACAAACATGAAGTTCTTGTCTGAATCCGGGAAGGGACAGGTATACTCTCGTGTCCTTCATCAAAGCCTGGATTAACTGAAATAAAAACAGTGTCACTTGTTATGTATATTGATTAATATAAAGTTTGTAAATGATAATGATAATAGATGGATGTGGACATTAGTCAACACGAGTGTAGCAGCAGCAGCAGCAGCAGCAGTCGGAGGTCATTCATGAGTTTACTGTCATTGTGCTCCCCCCCTGAGTGAGAAACCAGGCTCTCACTATGTGACTGAGCTGTGTGAGAGACATCCAACCCCTCCCTCAATCTCAGGATACACACTCCGTATTGCAGGTCGAAGGCATCACTGAAACACACAGAAAAGCTTTATTACAAAAAATATGATTCATTGTTCAGAGGTACACACACACACACACACACACACACACACACACACACACACACACACACACACACACACACACACACAAGCATTATGGCAAGCCGTTTGAGTATTTATTCCATATTCTTGATATCAGATGGCAGCGTACATAAGTTAGCTATTTGTTGACCACTTATTAGACATTTGGTCACATTAGATTGGCACTCTGTTTTACTTGTTGTTGTTGTTGTTCTACAAGTCACTCTTTTACAGCAACAAGTGGCACTTTTGTCTGACTAGTTCCTACATAAGCCGCCAGGAGCTGCACTAGTAGCACCAAAGTCCCAACTAGTCAGCTTTTTGATGAACTCGTGGCCCTCCGGACCTCTGGAGTGAGTGACACTAACAGTCAAGTTAACTAGCGAGCTGTAAAAGCTCTGACATGTCAACTAGTAAAAAATGAAGCAGAAAATAAGCAGACACGTTAACTATTGGCATACATTATTTGCACTAGTTGACTAGATAGATCCAAAATCACTGATGAATCATTGGATAATGCTTGTTAACTAATTAACATTTTGGCCTAAGCTAGCTGACTACTTCAAGAAAGTGTGAAAAACTTGTCAACAAGTAAAGTCAAAAGGCACTCCTACTAGTTAACTAATGAGCATATTGGCTTACACTAGTACAACTAGTGTTGGAACTTGCCGTGGATTAAATACCCTTACGGCCATACTAGCACACAGAAAAAGCTGAATGGATCCTCGCTGGACTCACTGCAGTATTCCTATGTAGTTGTCTGCAGCCTGAGGTGTGTCACTCTGCCAATCTTTCTTGAAGCCCATCAGCAGAACGTTGGGCTTGATACGACCCAGACCTGCCCCCTGGTGGACAGACAGCAACAAGAGAAGAAGAGATACAAAAAAGGTCTCTTTCACAAAGCATGTTCAACCTCTCAGGCCCTCTGAGAGATTAACCAGTTCTGTTTTACTAACGTCAGCAACAAATGAAAAGAAGACAATGCTACATGTTCAGACTTTATGTCTTTATGTCTTTATTAGGATCCCCATTAGCACTAGCATGAGCATTGGCTATTCTTCCTGGGGTCCTCACACACTCAAAACATACATAAACATTGTGTTTTTGTTTTTAATTGTTAACCCTGTTGTCGTGTTCATTTCTCCCCCTTTGTGCTCCCGCTCAAATTGGACCGGTCTGTTTTAACTGCTCTTAAATGAACACAAAACCCATTAATCATCACCACATTTTTATTAAACACACTGAAAATGTGTTCCAAAACTAGCATTTTGTTGAATAGTGTGTGTGTACTATGGATGAACAGAATCTAGGGCAGGAGTCAACAACCTTTTTTACGATGAGCGCTACTTTCATAAAATAAAACAAGTCGTGAGTTTTACTCCTCTTTGTTTTTGCAGTGTATATATTTAGCACATTTTAACATTATTATATGCTTACCTTTAACCTTTGTGTGCTGTTTGGGTCTGTGGGACCCGTTTGCAGTGTTTACTAAAATAACATGTGTGTAATTTAATTATTTTAACCTGCTTTATTTGGGGGTGGACCTTTTTTAAATGTTGAAGTGAAATGCATCAATCTGGTGCACTTTGAGCACAACATGAATTTATGGAAACAGCTCTCAACAATCAGATGAAAGGGAGCT